GGCCTCAGGAGAGACCCTTTGGCCTCCACCTCATGGGGCTCCCTCACTCTTAGTGTTCACCAGGGCAAAGGGGCCCCCTCCAAACGCTCTCCCATCCACGCAGAGTGGGCCATACTGGGGGCATGGAAAGGCCTGGCATTACCTTGTTCAATTAGCTGTAAATCCATTTCATTTACAGACACAAACTTGCTTTGTTCCTCTGTCGTGTTAGAGAATGGCGCAGTCCACGTAAATGAAACTCCCAGGTAGCCGCCATATGCACCCTGAAGCCCCGCCATTTTTATGGTACGATCATTTTGATAGAATTGTTTCTGAACTGTGTTGCACTTGTCCCTGGCCTGTTACCTCAACAGTGTGCCAAACATGTGTAGCCTCTGTATAATGACTGTTAAAAGAGTTGTTTCACTAGAACAATGACAAATAAAAGCCTGTGAGAGAGAAATGCCCCCGGGGCCCAGAGGAGGTACTGAGTCCTTTTGTATCTCTCCTCTGTGACCACAGGTGGCAGGGCCTTTTGGATTTTCTGTGGTGTGGGTCTTTCTCTCAGTTTTGGATGTCCTTCTAATCTGCCTGAATGGGCTGGAATGGAAACGATCAGCTGGTTCGAATGGTGTTTTGAACATGAGGGGAAGGTCATCTGAGCAGAGGACTCAGCCACAGAGTATATCACAATGGATTCAATGACGTTGACTTTGTACCTGTGGACATTTTCCTGGTCTTGCTCTCTTGGGTGTGGTGGAAGTTCCTTGGGATGGACGAGATGCTACTATCCATTCCAGCTGGGTAAATGTGTGAAGCCTCTTATCTAACAAGATGGCAGGAATGTCATCAGAAATTTGAGGGTCCTGAGTCCAACAGTGAAAGATGAGGTCCCATATGCCCTGCTGATATCTGAAGAACTTGAAGTCCACATGCAGAGCCTCCCAGTTTCCTCCCTGCTAGAAGAGGAGTGGCAAAGGAGGTGGCATTCCAGGGCACCCGGCCTAAGACTCGGGGCCATCTACACTGAGGACCACAGTGGCAGAAAAGATTTTAAATGTTTGAGGCAATGGATATGCCAATAACCCTGATCAGGTCATTGCACATGGTGTACAAGCATGGAAATGCCACACTTAGGCTAAGAAAAGAGGGGGAAATAAAACGTAAAGCTTGTTGCTCCTGCACTAAAAATAATAATAAAAGACAGGACTTTTACATAAGGATAAAGTCCAGACTTTCTAACATGAATGACAGTTCCTGGTCTAGCCCTTTTCTAAGCCTCTCTTTTTACCACTTCCCCAATTAAAATGATGCCATTCCCTCTTCCCAGAAAGCCCTCCACCCTCACCCACCACCCCTCCTCACTAGCTCCCTGCTGTACCCTGCAGGGAACAATGTGTTACTCCTTGGGATCACAGCTTGCTGGACCTGGGATGGATGCTTCACATTCTGACCCAAGATGGAACGTTCACTGCACTGGTGTCTGAGGGTACAAGTAAGTCTCAGTCAGTCCAGCCCTCTAGGGCCCGCCCCAGTGTCCTGGTAGAGTACTGCTAGGTCCAGGGTGATGAATGAATGCCCATTTTAATCTATGAAGGTGGCTCTAGAGAGGTGTCTAGGGCCTAAATGAAGATGGGGCAGAACGCATGGCTTTACCCCAGTAAAAGCAGAGGGAGAGACTGACCGTTACCCATCATATAAACACCTCCAGGACTGGACCGGCAGAGGGACAGCTTCTCCAGGGCAGCTCCCTTGAGTCTTTCCAGCATCTCCGCCTGCTGGAGATGTCCATAGTGCCCTTGCTGAGCCTAAGCTTGGCTTGGCTTTACCCTTGGGGATGGGGCAGGTGGGAAATGGTGTATCTTGGACAGAAACTGTGGAATCGTTTCTAATGTTCTCTGGCACAGTAGGGGAACTGTGGTTGACAGCAATTAACCAAAAATTTCAAAATAGGATTTGGAATGTTGCCAACACAAGGAAATTTTAAATGTTTGAGGCAATGGATATGCCAATAACCCTGATCAGGTCATTACGCATTGTGTACAAGCATGGAAATGCCACACTGTGCCCTGTAAATGTGTACAATTACTATGTCAATCTAAAAAATAATTTTTTTAACAAAAGATAAAATGATAGAAATTGTTAATGATTATCCTTCCAATGAAACTCTTTTATTTGGACCAGAATTGAACCCAGGGGTGCTCAACCACTGAACCACATCCCCAGGCCTTTTTCATTTTTATTTACAGACAGGGTCTTGCTAAGTTGCTTAGAGCCTTGCTAAGTTGCTGAGGCTGGCTTTGAACTTGCAATCCCCTGCCTCAGCCTCCCATGTTGCTTGGATTACAGGTGTGAGCCACCCACCCAACTCCTCCAATGAAGTATTTCTGACTCACACTGAATGCCTTTGTTCCATCTATAGGGTAATTCTGAGTTGGTGTTTCTCTTGTTAATTTCAATTTATTTAATTGAGATATAATTTAGATGCCATGAGGTGCACAGTTCTTAGTTTTACAAATAAGATTTGACAACTACATATGCCCATGAAAACTTGCACACCTAATATTGGTTTCACCCCCAGAAACTTCCCAAATACCCTCACCTCATCAATCTCCATTGTAAGATGATTTAGAAAATAAATGATAAAAATATAATGCAGGCTCCTCTGGGACTTACCTGTTGGCTGAAGGAGACTGGAATTATGCAAGTAAAATGATTAGAAATCAACACAATAAATGATATGAGTAAATGGAAGGTTCCGAATCACTATAGTGGCATGGTTTTAAAGAAGAGAAATGCATGAAAATGTCATCTGAAAGTTCATTAGGAATTCACATACCTAGGCCCACTCCAATCCCATTAAATCAGGATTGCTTGGCCTGGGACCCAGGAATACATGCTGAAGTAAAGTCTCTGGGAATTCTGACCTGGAGTTGGGGTGAGGGTGGCACAAGCCACACTGTGAAAAACATAAAGTTCTGTTTCGTCTACACAGAGGGCATCCTTCCTGCATGGAGAAATGAGAGCCACGGAGCTTAGGGACTTGTTAAGGTCACACAGTAAGTTCTCAGTTTGGGAGAGGAGTAGAGAAGGCTGGGATCTCAGGCACCCACACTGCCCCCAGAGCCATCTGCCCTTGAGGGGTATGTGGGGACCTCGGGAGCCCAGGGCCACACTGAGGTCCCAGGTGCTCCTGAATATCAACCCCCTATGAATCTCTTTGGAGACAACAGAGTGTGGGGACACTGTGTCTGGGAGAAAGGAAGGAAGGAAAGCACCAGTATCCCCTCCAGCTGAATGATCAGAGGCTTCTGGTCACCAGAACCCAAGGAGGGGCAGCACCCAGAGCAGCCAAGGGGCCCTGTCCTGTACCACAACTGTCATGGTCGTCATTTACCACGGAGACACACACAGGTCCTTTGGGCTCTATCTCCTATCCAGTGGCTGTCACAGCCCCTGCCGCTCCTACTATGGCAGATGGTGAGAAATGGAGAGCATTGGTGTCACTCTCTGGAATTCCACCCTGTTGGAGCTTTGCAGGCCCAAGACACTTGGTAAGCCACTTGATCCTCTGGGCTTCGGTTTCCTTGTTTGTAAACCACGGAGTTAAATTAATTGCCTTTTGGCTCACCTCCGTCATTGTGGGTTAGAGTCCACCCCTCCCCAACCCAGGACCTTGAATTTGTTTTGTTATGATTTTTTGTTTCCTATTGGGTTCAGGTCCACCAGGCACACAGCCCAGATGGGCAAAGGTCTAGCAATCATTTCAGGTAGGAAGCAAAACATCTGTTTATAAGGTTCTTAGTGGTAGAGTTCTTTCCTTGTTTATCTGACACGCTGAGGACAAAATAAGTGTTCAATAAATGCTTCCAAAATAAATATGTGATTCATGAAAACCAGAGCTCCGCTTGCCCTATTTGAGAATCACTCCCCTATTCAAAGGAACCCCAGTACCCACCAAAACAAAAACGAAAACATTGCAATTATTACTGTCTCCAGAAAATTTAAAGAAAGGGGTTCTGATACAAAACCCCCCAAATGCTTCTTAAAATCCCCATCCTCTTCTCTCCAGCTGTCATACTCCTGTCTCTGGTCACGAACCTCTTGCACTTGGTACCCCCATTCTCTCAGCACACTTTTTTCCTGTTACACTATCACAAAAGCCAGGTGTGAACCAACAAAGACTGGATTTTCCTCACACGCATGGGAAAGTAGGAGCAAAGACAAACGATTTTAGAAGACCAGGACCGAGGGCAAAGTTGGAGCAAAAAGACTACGATCCCTATTTATGAACCGCCGTCTGTCTCTCGGATGAGGGCCGATGTGAATGAGTGCACATTGGGGTGCCATCTGCCTGGTGGGCTTTACAAATTAGTCTCCCACATGTCGACCATTTCTATGGCGTTAATGAGGTGCTGTGATATCTGAAGGAGTCCGACTCTTAATATCAACCTAAGACCATCATTCTAAGTACATGGCTTCATTGCTTTAAGCCTCAGAGATGGGTGCACTTTATGGAGTAATTTAATAACAGAGGCTGTGTGGCTGGAAGCTCTGTGAGACTTCCCACAGTCCTGCAGCTTCTGCGAGGATCCTGTTAAGTTGAGATGGTAGGAGGTATTAAGCGAAGATTCTTCCAGAAAGGGCTGGAGAACCATTTGGAGATGTTTCCTAACCCCTTCGTTTCAGCCCACTCCTCCATCCAGGGAGAGAGGGAAGGCTTTTATAATGGGTGAATGCAAACTATAAAAATTCAGCAAAAGCCTTGGCACGTGCCATGCGTCCGATGAGTGTCAGATGTGATTCTTAATGTGGTTCTCCAGGTTCTCTCGGGCTGAGCAGTCCATGAACCTGTGTTGGACCTGGAGCCAAGAAGCCACCTGGTTGAAGAGGCCCAGTAAAACATGCCAGAGTTGAGGACCGGCCAGGAACAGAAAAGGCCTCATTAAGCATTTGTTTAAGTTATTCATTTCTGGTTGGGAAGAGAAAGACCCGTGAACTTGAACCACACAGGGCAAACATTCTGCGGTACATGGGTCCCGGAGGGTTTCCCTGCTTCACCTGTCAGAAGCCAGCCTTCCCGGCAGGAGAGTGACGAGGAAGGCCCTCCCCAGCCGGCAGCTGGTGGCTCCACACTGCCTAGGGGAGAGATGAAGGTATGGAGACCAAACGACCTTCTTCCCCACTGGGTTTAGGGCCCTCTTTATGGCCTCCTGCTGAACAGGTGGAGTTTAGCTGCCTGCTGTAGCTTCCAGGGCTGGACCTAGATCCTTTTGGGATTAAGGCCAGGCGGGCCACGTGACAGCAGAGGCAGTCAGACCCGTGGCTTCCCTCTGCCTCTCTGTTTGCTCTTTTGTTATGGCTGCTGGTCAAAGCTCCTCCTTTGTTTATTTGCTGGTCTGCAGGTTGGTGAGATCCTGCCAGCCCTCAGTCAGGCTGGGCCACCAAAGGCTGTAAGGAAAGGGTCACTGGGCCAGCCCTGACCTGCCCAGGGGGAAATCTGGACTGGACTGCAGCCTGTCCTCATTTCATCCCAAATAAGCAAAAACAAAGGAAGAAAGATACAAATAGAGCACATTTCAGAGCTGCAAAGACTAAAAGATGGGCTTGTGAAAATGTAATAGTTAAAGCCCTGAGTTAATTGCAGAACAGCACCCTTGACAACCCCTTTGGGGGCAGGCAGCCTCAGGGGAGATCTGCACCAGCTCAGGCCTGCTCCTTCCCACTCTCCCCTCTAGCTTTAACAATGGCCCAATCAGAGTCCCAGTCGGCCTAATCTGGGTTTCAAAGGGAAACCTGCAAGGTGAGAGGGCTTGCCTTTCCTTGAGTGCATGTTTTAAACAGTCTTGAAGGGCTCTGAGAAAAACCCACTATCAGTCCTCCTCGGCTTATCAAATCTCTTCTATCATAAGATAAGATGGGCTAATACAGAGAACAAGGGCTTTGGAATCCACACAGCCTTGGCTACACCTCTTGATTTACTAATTAAGTGAGCTGCATTGAACAATTTAACATCTCTTAGGCTTGCTTTCATTACCTGGATGTAATAATGAGACATTTAAAATAAGAAGTGTATCATTGGGCTGCTGTTAAAAGGGATTTGAGATAATAGATGGCACAGTGTCATCTATTATCTATATATTAATATATTACATTAATAGAGGGTACAGATAACCCTTGATTCAAGTTTTTCTGGTGGCCACCAGTTTATGAACTGGTCCTCTCAATTTGACCCTTCTCCTTGATGCCCCAGACCTTGCAAAAAATTCTTGGTTGGGATTTTCAGCAGAGAAGCAAACCCAGCAGCCTATTAGCAGTGGGCCCATTTCTGTGCTGATGTAAATAAGTTACTCCCTAAAACACAAAACCTACTCTGGAAGCTTTCTTGTGGCAGTTTGGAATCACCCAAATAACTGTCACAGGAAGAAACACACTAATTCAAATAAATCCATGAAACCTCTGGAGTTGTACCTGCTTCCAAATAACCGTGAGCACCTGAACGTTTACATATACATAACAGGAAGTAGAATCCACAGACTGGAAATTCCCTTAACTTTATTTTTTGACACATCATGGTGTATTCTGTGCTTCTGGTTGTAGCCGTAGCAAATTCCAGTGTGCATAAAAAATTGAAGAATGAGACCAAAAAAAAAAATGTGATTTGAAGTGGGTATTATTTCTGAGATAAAATTGCTAAGGGTTGGCTTGATAACCAGTTTTTATTTCCCCATACACAATGTTATTCCTTCATTCATAAGACAGTCTGTTATCTATTCTGTTTCAGGCACTGTGCATGGTGTTGGAGATACAAAGACGAATTAAGCATGAATTAGGCCATTAGAGATGACCTCTGCCCACAGGAGGTTGTAAGTGAGTCTGGAGCCACACGCAGCTAGCAGGCATAAGGTCATCAAGAGGGACCACAGAGGGCAGGGAGCTCCCCTCTTGGGGAGGGCATTAGCAAAGGTTTCTGCATAGCTTCTGAGTTGGCCCTTAACATGAGCAGAACTTACTAGAAGAAAAAAAAGAAAAAAGGTGAAAATCTAGGCAGAGAGGACAGAAAGGAGGTGTCAAAGTGCAATTGGAATTCAGCGTACAACAGTGTCGATGACACACATACTGTGTGTGTGTGTGTGTGTGTGTGTACAGTACTAAGTGGACCATGGGAATGTGAACATGGACAGTCAGAATCCACAGTTAGAAGTTTAGAATAAACAGGAAAGAGGGAAAAGTAAGTGTAAGATGAAAGAGGAGAGAGAGTCCAGCAAACAGAGGAACTTCTCTCAAGACCCCTGCTCTTGAACCTTGGAATAACAGGGAGAAGCAATGTCTAAGAAGGTGAATCGTTCCTCGATGAAGCCCGGAACCAGAGACAGACTGTCCCATGTCTTTGCCTGGCCTTGCTTAGTCATCCACGTGCACATTCACGTAAGTTTTTGAAGGTAGCGTGGACATTACATACCAAGGGCGCTGGTTGTGGGGGGTCAACCCAGGGGTGTGTTCAGACCTCTGTGCTCTGCCCGGGTGGTGTTGTGTGGTGAAACAAAGACATGCCTTTCTCTTTCTACTTTGGTCTAATTACTAAAAGCATGTTTTTTTTTTGTTTATTCCTGATTTCAAGACATATATGCTACTATTTAAAATATGCTAAAGAGGACACACAGAAGGAAAAGAGACTTTCTATGTGTATTCTGTCTGCCACACATTCAAGGTGCTCTTTGGTACCGAGCCTTTTTGTGTTTAGAAATGGTTTCCCATCCAAGAGATTAGATAAAAGTGATTATTTATATTTTCTTATAATTCTTAGCTGTTTTTAGTTTTCATATTTCACTGATGAATCCATACTAAGTTTATTGTAATGAATGGTCTCAGGTAAACTAGACTCATGGTGCATTTATGAGCCTTGGACCTCTTTTTGGGGAGAGGGGTACTGGGGATTGAACTCGGGGGCACTGGACCACTGGGCCATATCCTCAGCCCTATTTCATATTTTATTTACATACCGGGTCTCATTGAATTGCTTAGCACCTCGATTTTGCTGAGGCTGGCTTTGAATTTGCAATCCTCCTGCCCCAGCCTCTCAAGCTTCTGGGATTTTAGGCATGCACCACTGTGCCAGGCTTGGCCTCCTTTTTTAACTAAGTTGCTCTTCTTTGGTGCTGGGAGTTGAACCCAGAGCCTTGCACATACTAAGTACTCACCTACCACTGAACTACTCATTACTCTTATCATCAGTTGTGTCTATTTCCTGTTTGTGTAGAGGCCAACATGTGTTTCCTGGGTGTTTTTCTTTGCAGTCATAATGAAATGCTAAGATGTACCTTCAATTTCTGTTATTTCTGTCCTCCCAACAGGACCTTGGCCTTTCCCCCAGTGGCCATCATCTTGAGTCACTGAAGTGTTGTCAACCACTTAGAAATACACAGCCGGTAGAAAACTCCTCCACTCTGGACACTTTGAAGGCTTCTGTCTGATCTACCCTGTGAAGGATAGATCTCCTGAGCACCTGCCAAGCCCAGGATGGGTTGGGACTATCTCAAGAGGCATCACTCGCCCACCCCTGTCCCCTGAACAGTGTCACACCTTCATTCTTTCCTTAAGCAAGCATCCTGCTCCAGGGTACAGGGTTGAATGAGACACAGTCCCTGCCCCCAAGGTACTCTCCTGCCCTTCTAGAATGATCCAGAGGAGCTGCCCAGGTGAGTGACCTCATGGCATGACATCATGGGAATCTGCCCAATCTTATTCAATTTACTCAACAAATATTTGTTGAGCTCCTAGTGTTTGCCAAGAACTGTGCTGGGTGCTAGGATAGAAGAGCTGAAGGAGCTCGCTGCTCAGGGGAAGACAGATAAATAAATAGGCGGTCACAACTCAGTGTGATAAGAGCTAAAATGGGTGAGAGTGCTGGACCTGGGATGTTTTAAGTTTCTGGGCTCTGCCTCCCGCCTGCTTTATTAACCAGGGCATTTCTGTTACATTCCAAGAAATGCAAAGTCAGTTGTCATGGCATTCACACAAGACTCTTGAGAGCTACCTTGACCTCCCTTCAGACCAGCTGGTAGAGTTACGGAGGGTATCAGCTGGGGAGGTGATTGATGGGCGAACACGTGGTTCAGAGTTCAAAGAGGTGAGGGGTGAGCAAATGATGCATTGGTTGTCCTGGTCCTGGAACCTCAACTGGCCACTTGGCCTCTTGGAAGTCAATGCCAAGTGTAGCATCCCGAGAAGAGAAAACACTAGCCAGGCACCAAAGACATTTCTTTTCCTTTTATCCCAGTGACTCAAATCTGTGGGCCCCACTGATATTTGTTTTGACTTCTTGGTTCTGCAGCCTGGGGCGGCTCTTGTGCCATGGGGTGACAGGTCTTTTAATGGACAAATTAGCAGTCTTCTTGGTCACCTGTTAGGCCAGGCAGTCTTGAGCCACCCACAGGAAACTGGATCATGGGTTCCCCTCGCACCCAAGGTATTACCAGAACTTGATCCTGCTTTGATAAAAATCTCAGAAGCATCTGAGTCCGCATCTCTCTGTCCATTTTCACAGTAAGGAAAGTATAACATGCATCCCGAATGGAGCCACTCGATAGCAGTGTGCCAGCAACTCTGCTGGAGGAAATCAGGAATGAAAACGAGTTTTTGTGATTTCTTTTGCACGTGTATGTTCACTCACACGCCTTTTCTCCCCTCTGGGTCTTGATGATCCAAAAGGAGCTTTCAGAACAGATGGACAGATGCTTTGCCTCCTCACAAGCCTCTTATTTGGAGATGTTCCCTTGCATCTTCTTTTTCAACCAGGAGCTGACTTCAGAGTCTACCTGCAAAGTGGCCTGTGTCGATCTAAATGCTTGAAACTCATTCCCCAAAGAAATAAGCCCCTGACATCTAACAAGTCACGCCAATCACCCACGCAGTGCTGTCCTTCTAACATGGATTTCTGGGTACACCGTGAGTCCCTCCCGTTGCTTTCCCTCCGACCTGCCAGCCACCTGTCCTGGTGCCTGGTCACACACAGTACATTGTTGAAGATAATATGAATCTAGTCCTTGCACTTTTCTCCTTCCCATCAGCTCATCACCACCCAGAGTTACGCATCTACTTGGCTCTAGGTTGTTCATGGGCTTCTGTGAGAGAAATAGCCCAGAAGAATGCTTCCAAGTGACAGAAAGTTCTAGATGCACTTAGTGTTTCTCAAGTCTCAGCTGCTTCTTCATTTGTAAATGGGATAATCCCCACTTATGATGCTATCCGAGAGCTGGAGGTAGCACATGGGACTGAGCTCATAACACAGGCGCTGGGAACTAGCGGCCGTGCTTACCGTTGTCATCGTCATGCATAGTTTCTTGTTCTCTGTTTTAAGCTGTGGCCCAAGCATCTTTGATCAAGCAAAAGGTCCAAGCACTGCTCTATTTTATCTCAAGCCAGTGATGCATGGAGGAGAACGAGGTACAAAGGTGGGGGACCATTCCCTGGTGGAGAAAAAGCAAGAGAAGTACAGCTGCTCCCCTTCCTCTTTCAACAGGCTGACTCATGAGTACGTGTATGTATGTGTGTGTGTACATATGACATATATGTAAAATATGTGTGTCATGTGGAGTCCAAAATCCTTTCTCACTCCACCACTCCTCCCCCTCTTGCTTCACCTTTCTTCATTTTCTGCTCTGGTTCCCCAGCTGTTACAGCTGCAAGTCACATGCCACTCCCTAGGTCCTAGGCATAAAGAAGCCTTGGGCATCTGAGCCTTGTGGCGTGTGGGCTCCCCACTGGACAGAATGTAATTGGAAGGAGGCAGACCCACTCCCTCAGCTTCCCTTAGGAGGACTCATTAGGTAATATAAAACACACCTCTGCTTGTTTCCTTATCCTTTCCAAACCAAAGATAAAAGCAAATTTAAAATATTATTTTTAAATGCCTTTATTTTATTTACTTACTTATATGTGGTGCAAGAGCATCCCAGCAGAGAAAATAGTAGTATCTGTCACAGCGCACTGAGAAATAGGCAAGAGGCAGGAGAGGAGCTCAGCAGAACATCTAGGGGCACATCCAGCAGGAACTCACAGGCCTCGCTCAGGAAAGTGGTGGAGAACAGGTGGTCGGAGCGGCCACAGAGGAGCCATCTCCAGGGCCTGGGCAGCGGATGTGCTGGCTGTCATCAGAGGCGGTGGAGGCCAGCAGAGCTGCTTCTTCCCACCCACCCACATGGAATTCACATCCCTGGAAAGATACACAAAAGTCCTATCAGCCAGACCTCTCTGTGAGGATGGCAAGGCGACTTCCATCCTGAAACACTGAAGCAAACCTTGCTGAGAGCATCATCCGACCCCGATGGCATCCTCAACCCCTGCTCTGTGGAGGCTCCTTCCTGCCTCCCTGCTGTCTATAGACTTCACATTGCATTCCTCTCTGCTGTGCAAAGATATGCATCTTCTCCGCAGCTCCTACTCCTCCAGAAAACAGAATCAAATCCCTCGTGGTATTTGGAAAATAAAGAAACCTTCTATTAACAAGATCTACTCTCCCCCTAGCACAATGCAGGCACCTTTGTTACTTGAGGGTGTTTTCCTTTTCTTCAAACAGTTCATCCAAAGTGTTTTTTTTAAAAAAAAAAAACTACTATAAACTATTAATTTTTTATGAAGACCCAGAAGAGAGGAATTTGGAGACTCAAAACCTAAAGAAATGATAAGGAGAGGGAAGTGCTCATTACTTGGATTTGATCACTACCCATTGGACACATGGCGTGAATTATCACACTGTACCCCACAAGTGAATATGGTTATTAAGTGTTAATTAAAAAGGAAAACAGAGTAACAATTAAAAAGCAATTTTGATGGTTGAAATGGTTTACATCTTATGGCACCTATACGTAGCAAATATTTATTTTAATCTTTTCGTGATTGTTTGCTTATTGCAATGTCTTCCAATACACTTAAATTTGCTAAGAATAGGCAAATACGCTCACCTCCCCCCCATACCTTCATCCTTAACACAGAACCTGTCATTTAGCCAACATTGATGGAACAGAACCAAAGGGACAGAAATCATGATCTTACTATTTTCTGTTGGACTATATTACATAGATTTGAGGCCAATGGGTTGATTTTTTTCCCCCTTGAGCTTGGTAAAATTGCGGGCAAACTAGGAACTCCGGACTACAAAGCAGAGTTCAGAAGTCTAATGTCACTTAGGTCTTGACTGAGACAGTAATAAAATCCTCGCCTCCCTCCTTCTCTTCTTTCTTCCCTTCATCCCTGGTCGGCCTACCCAGCTCCCCTGCCTCCTCTTGCTGCTCAGGCCAGCCTCTGCAGCGTGCTCAGAGGGGAGCACCCATGTGCCACGGAGAATGGGAACTTCTCCCGGATGGGGCTCCAGCCCCTCCATGTTCTTTCGGCACCTGGGACACGTTGCTTTTGGCGTCACTCCAGGATATTCACGGTCACCAGCAACTTGTCCGATCACCTGGAGCAGAAAATGGATGGATTACTTCACTCAGGAGACTCTCTGACCTCTAGCATCTGGTGGCAGAGCTCTGAAGCAAAGACGCCCACTGTGGATTGGCTGGCGTGCTCCTCCTGTCACCATGTCCCTGTCAAGGTCTTCTTGATGAAGGGCTGGGAATGAAGGGTGGCCGCCAGGTAGCTGCATGGTGGGCCACCTCACCTCATCTCTAAGCTGCAACTGTAGAAAGGCACGTGGCAATATCTAGCAGTACTCTAGCATCCAGCCTCATCCAGATGTAATATCAAACATTAAAATCTGGTGTGTCGACGTAACTATGTATGTAAAAGAAACCATTGAAAACCATTGAGAAGCCTCGATAAAGGGGGCCCTGATTTCTATGGCAGGTAGAATATGAGATGCATGAGGGCTAAAGGTTGGATCCAGCTTGTATTCTCCAGAACACTTTGCCCACTGCCCTATCTCATGGCAGGTGCTTAATAACCTTTCAGTGAAAGAACAAATCATCCCTCTGATTATCCCTCCCTTATCCTGCTAATTGTAGAGGAATTGTGCTTCCTCATGTTAAGAGAGCCAAGGAATAAACCCTCGCAGCATCCTTTGTCTTAACATCAAGCGCCTGATCGTTCTTCCAGAGGGGAGTCCTTGTTAGTCTCTTCCAGCTCTCCGCAGATCCTACTTTTGAAAATACGGTCATATTGTCACCCCATTTCCATTCCTTTTTCTTAAGCCACTTATAAAATAATACATCTAATTCTGCCAGAAAAAAAAAAGAATCCTAATGAGATGCTTGGATCCCGAAACAAAGGCCTAACGAGGGAGCTCTTGTGAGTACCCTCAGGATGTTGACAAAGTCCCTCCTCGGCTCTGAGTCTCCCGCTATGAGCTGGCAGGGCTCCTACCACCCAGAAAGTGATAGACAAGCTCACTTTAGATGCCTTGCCCCCAGGGGGATACAAACAGAAGACACAAGAAGGCAGGGACACTCCAGAACACTGAGGTGAGCCGCTGCCCTGTGGGTTCCCTAACCACATCCTTGGTGGAGGAGTGAAGGAGAGAGGTGAAGCCTCAATTAGTCACCCAAAGTTCTCCACTCAGATCTGCTGACATTATCTTCACGATAATTACACAGTCATAGCCCAAAGGGCAAATACCCTGTCTCCTTTACACCGGTAAGAAGAAAGGGGACCAGTGTGGGGGAAAGTTGAGACAAGAGACATATCAATTCAGGTTTCATTCTTTATTGAAGATTTTGGCATTCCTAAGTCTAGATCTTATGAATTAGAGAGAGAGAGAGAGAGAGAGAGAGAGAGAGAGAGAGATTATTATTCTCCCCTAGTCTACAACAGAGTAGGCCCACCAAGATACACAACCATCGGACACTGGGACATTGTGACCAAGCTGGGCTCTCTGCTCAACAAAGGTGCTACAAGGGTGGTAAATACAGTCTGCAGCGTCCATAACACATGCCAGGCTCATGAGTCACCCCTGGGACACACCTAGTCCCAGAGCGCCATGAAAACAGTCACCAGGCCTTAGCTTCTTCGCTCTGCTCAGCTTCTCCCGCAGGCTGACTTCATTGGAGACTGGGTTTCCCCTCTTTGACTTATATGGTCACTGAGAGGACCGCTTCGACAGCAGCCGGACCGAGAGGAAATATGTAGAGCGTGACCACAGGCAGATCAGCCTAGGTGGGTCCAACTTCAGGGTGTGTTTGATGGGAAGAGGCGTGTGACCCAAATACCTTTCCCTGTGCTTAGCCCTCAACCACAACTCTTAAAACTACAGTAATTTAAAGAAAGAGTTCTAAATCTCCTTAACCCTGGAGATGGGGGTGGAGGGGGGGCCTAATGGAGAAATAAGAAGGAAGAAATAAGTTAAAAGGATTTATCAAAAGCTGAAGAAAACACATTCCATCCACGCACGATCTATTGATCTGAAAAAGTTTTTTTAAAAAAGGAAAACTGCTAGAACTTTCTCATATATGAGAAAATATGTGTGTGTGTATGCACACATATGTGTATATATGCATGCACACAGAAGTTATTTAAATTATTTTGAATTGGACTATGTTGCAAAAACATCTCCTCACCCACTGTTCAGGCTTCAGTAAAAAAAGCCTCAGGACCCAAGTATAATAATAAAACCTTTCATTCAAATGTTTGTATCAGATAACTAGAATGAAAATAAAAGCCAGCAACCCACATCAGCCGAACTCATAGTACTTCTCTGTCTGGGTAAATTGGTTTCAAGATTTGCATCTTGTTCCAAAACTGATTTTGGATACTATCCATTTCTGCTGATGATTGGTAAAATAAAAATGTCAAGTTTCAGCAAGTGAGTAAAACTGATTAATCAAGACTAAAGCAGACTTATTTACCTCCCTTTTTTTCTTTCTGAATTTTAAAAAAGTATTTGAAACTATGCTTCAGAAGAGCCACGATTATAAATATTGATCCACATTTATATATATATTTTCTCAGGGTCAAACAGGTAACACAGTCCAGTAGCCAGTAACAAATATAAAAAGAAATGGAGAGTTTTGTAAGGTCACCCAAACAAAGTAAGGAGATACTTCAGTCAGTTTATTTCAAAAAGCAGAAGACAGTTGTATTAACTCCTGGGATACAAATTTCAAATGCTCTAGTCCTTTGGCAAGCTCTACAGTGCTCAGGAAAGATGTCACAGAAGAGGCTTGTAAGACGGCAGGCGACATCTTCAACTCATCCGCTGACTCATTCACTGTGTCAAGGAAGAAAATCAGAATGGAGTAACATTGGTTTGGGCACTTGCAACTACAATGGAGTTGGGTGGCACCATTAAATCCAGTCTCAGACATATCCACAACTCAACCATTGAGCTGGGCTTCAGACATGACCACTACTGGCATAACCTCTAGACTGGGCCAAATCACAGTTTCCTGTTGTTGTTGAGCTTTGTGCAAGACTCTTTTCCAAGAACTACACAGAGACTGAACTGTACCCAATCTCTTTCTTACAAGATAGCCTCACTTTTTCCAACCCCAATCATAATTCCTGATTAACAAGTGATGTAATTACCAATCCCCTTGTGGTTGAAACCTACTGGAGACCAGTTAGGATATAAAAAGTAGCAAGAAACCAACCTTTCCACATTTACAGCCAGACACATGGAGACACAGCTGCCATTTTGTAAAACATCTGGATGCATTTTCAAGACTCCTTGAATCTGTTTTCCCAGATTGAAATCCTAATTAGAGCCAAATTAATGTCACTCTCTTTGTTCTTGGCTAGGTTGTTTTTATTCTCAGTCAACGACTCACTCTTTCATTCACCCATTAATTCAGTAAGTATATACTAATGACCCCACCATGACAAGTCACGGTGACATAAGATTAGGTAATGTGTAAGATACACTCACTGCTTTCCTGGGATCAAGAACATCATATACACAATCTTCCATTCCTTTTTTTTTATTTGCTTAGTAACCACCAAAATTTGTTGTTGGAAAAACAATGGCGGAATCTCCTATAGACATCTCTGCATAATATTTACGAGAGGGTTTCTCAACCTTGGCACCATTGGTATTTTGACCAGATAGTTCTTTGTTGTTGGGGCTGTCCTGCCCACTGTAGGATGTTTATCGGTAGGCCTGATCTTCCCCTCAGCACCCTCTACCCAGTTGTGACCATAAAAAGTGTGTCTCTAGACACTGCCATCTGTTTCCTGGGAAGAAAAAGCCTCCCTCGTAGAGAAACACCAACTTAGAAGGGGTAGACAGCAGAAGGTGCTATGGATGGCTGAGTCAGGAGAGAATTCAAAGAAATTAGGAAATGGAGAGTATGCTGCTTGGTGTTTGGAGCGGGGTGGTATGGAATTTCAGCTGCCTAATGATTTTTAACACCACAGACACCATAGACATTTGCTTCCTGTGAGGTTATAAAAATTAGCAAGAAACCATTCTTTCCACCTTTCCAGCCAGACACATCCAGACAAGTTACATAAAAATAGCTTAAAGAAACCCATCAGAGAACAAGAAAAACTAAATGAAATGAAATTTAGGAGAGAGAAGATAGAAACTGAATGGAAACTTGGATGAAGACAGAAAAGAGAGGATGGGTTGTGGATGGGTGAAATTCAGCTGAGCTTTTAATGAACTTTTGATACCTACTGGTTGGCTGGGGTGTTAGACTGGGGTCTTAAGGAGCTTTGGTACCTTACGCTTCTCCTTGTTTGGCATGGTCCTTCCCCAAGTACATAGAAGGTTGGGAGCAGGGCAGAAGGCCTGAGAAATAGCTATCAGGAGATACTTGGGGGCTTCAACAAGTGCCAGGCAGAGGCTGCCAAAGCTGGAGGCAGAACAGGACAGCTGAGAGAGTCCCAGTAAGCCACTCAAGCCCTTTCTGGGAGCAGGGTCAGAGAATGATAAGGTGAAGGGTTCGATGCTCCAGGTCCTTACCAGCAGGAGAACCAGGAGAAACCCTCTCCATGCTTACCAGGCTTTCACCAAAGGCCGGTCAGTGATACTGCTCAAGTTTAAGCATAGAGAACAAAAGAGAAGCAACACCAGGTGCAGAAAGCTAAGAAACTGGGAAGCCCACAAAAAAAAAAAAAAAAAAAAAAAAGAAGAAGAAGAAGAAAGAAAGAAATCTGATATGAAAAGCCAGCAGGCAGATTGTAACACAAAGATATCCAAGGTTCAGAAAGCCAAATCCTAGGGTAGAGTGTTTGTCTTGCATGCACAAGGCCCTCGGTTCAATCCCCAGCACCACCACCCCCCAAACCAAAGCTGAATCTTAAAGCACAGAGAGATCTCAGCATCTCACTGATATCCCATCCCAAGGCCAGGTGAATGAAAAGCCCTAATTTTGTCATGAAAGATGTAAGACCAATGTGACTGGAACCTACCAAAGTCAGTTTCCCATCCTCCAGGCCTGGCAAGCAGGTAGTAGAAACAGTCTCCAAATGGAGAAGAGCAAAGAGTCACAGGAAATGCAAAGAGAGGATGAGGAGGAAAACCACAAGAAAGCTTTGCACGCTCCAGAACTTACCAGTATGTCCCTCTACCACTAGGGGAGAGTCGGGAGCTCTCAGGAGGACCTTGCTGAGCAGGAACACTGGGCCTATGGCTGACTGCAGGTGGGAAAACAGAGTCTGTTCTGCTCTAGGAACTGTTTGCTTGGTAAGCAGGCGCCATCATCTTCCCTTCAGAGAGCCACAGGTGCACGCAGCCTGCGTTGGCCTGATGGTGGACCAGGATTACTCAGAGAGACCCTTTCACACTCCAGGCTTTTCAACAAGTGCCAGGAAGTGGATGTCAACCTTGGAAGAGGGACAGGAATGCCCACAGGGACCTCTGCTAAGGTGCAGGGCATGGGGCCTCTGTGGGCTGTGCAGGAGGTCTAGGGAAGCCCTCTGACACCCCAGTACTTATACTAAATGGGGCAGCAGAAATGCATTTCAAACTTAGAGTGTACAGAGCTCAGGCAGCCTCTGCCACAGTCTTTACTGACCACACCCTATATCATCGCTTGACAGAGACAAAGCACCCCATTTCCTGAGTGTATAGGACAGTTGTCTCAGTCTCTCCTATTCTTTTTTATGCAC